GCTACCAACTGTTCCATGGTTGACTTTTCATTACTCTCCTTATTTTGTCCTTCAGGTACTCTGGCAACATTAGCAATATTTGGTTTTCTTGTCTGACTAATCTTCTTAAAATTGTTATTATTCTTAAACTTGTTTGTTAGAAGATCTGGATGAAGCTTCCAACAAGTGTTCTTAGTATGCCTTAGTTTCTTGCAATATTCACATATCAGCTCTTTCTTCTTTGTTGGACCCTTTGGCTTTATTCCAGCATGTGCAAAGTGTTCTGTAGGTGGACTCTGTAACTGGATCTGCCGCCTACTATCTTCATTGCTTACCATAGCATATGCTTGGGCAAGAGTTACCTCATCCTTGGCCAAAATATTCTGCCTAACAATGTCAAACTCAGGGTTGAATCTTGTAAGAAACTCAAACACCCTGTTTCGTTCCACCAATTTCCTAAGTCTCTGTATCTTTTGCACTCTCCCATACAACTGTCTCCATAACATCAATTTTCTGCCATAGTGATTTCAGCATAGAGTAGTAAATTGCCACACTCTTCTTCCCTTGTCTCAAATTTTTCACTTCACTTTTCAGCTTATAGGCTCTTGCCACATTCAACTTGTGTGAATAGGTTTCAGTAACACTATCCCAGATTTCCTTGGCCGAAGACATCCAAAGATAATGGTGACTTATATGGGGCTGCATAGAGTTGATCAACTATCTTATTACTGTATTGTTCTCTTGCATCTATTTTTCAAATGCAGGGTCTGTTTCTTCGGGTTTCACCTTATTGGCTGCGAGATACCCTGATTTACCTCTACTATAGACATAAATCCGTATGGACTGTGCCCAAGCTCGGTAATTGGTTCCATCTAACTTAATTGTGGTCACACCAGTCAAAATGGAATCTATCGATCCAAGCCTGGAAACTGACATTTGCTTGAACTCACTTTTGTATTGCTCCATTGATCAAACGGAAAAAAAAACTAGAATTTTAGTCTTTATAAACTTGATGTCAAAACAATACTCAGATTCTTGAAAACTAGGGTTTCACTAAGTCCGATTGTTAGGAAGATATAGAGAAGATGCAGCCGCTCCTACCAGAGCTTCCCAATCTCTTCCAAGACTGAACCACACTCTTTTAGAAGTCAAAAGACACCTCCCAAGCACTGAGTGCCACACCAAAATCTTCTCCTTTACTTGTAACTTTGAAACTCTCTAATTGGCTAGGGTTTTGGGCAGAAAAAATACAACATCACTTCTTGGTAGTTTTCGGCCAGACTTGAACTTTCCAAACCCTCTACCAACTAGGCAATAAATCCTCTGAAGTATAGAGAACCTATCTATCCATACACTCTCCTAATCAAAGGGTGTATGGGAGAAGAGAAAAAGAAAAAAAGGGAAGAAAGAAACATGCTCTGATACTAAGAAGTGAATCAGTCCTCTAAAACTGATATAAACTTGATTAAATTAGAGAGAGAAAAGTAGAAAAGTAGAGGACAGCAGTACAAAGGAAGAAGATGGAGAAAAGAATAGGAAGAAGAAGAGTTCGATGATCTCCACTCTCCCCTCTCTAATCCTTATGTTAATCTTCATTCATTAAGCTAATTACAAGTATGCCCTTAAGTGGGCGTCCAGCTAGGTAGGAACTTAAAGTAAGCTTATAAAAAAGAAATAACAGGTCCATTAACAAAGAAATAAATAACACACTACAAGAATATAAGAATAGATACTAGGGCCCATTTGGCCCAGTCTCTCTACATTTTCCATGCACTCATAGGGTTCTCTCTTGCTATTTATATTGAATCAAAACAGGTTCCTTTCAAGCTGCCTCCATGCACATAGGAATGCCAAGTTAGTTATGCTGATGTAGCCTCCTGGTGTAGACGAACTTGATGGGCTGAACTACATGGGATACTCTTCCTGAGCTGCTGCCTTCAGTGATCAGATTTGGAGGTTGTTGGGCCTGGGTTTTAGTTGTTGGCTGCAAATTGTTGTGCTGGTCCAGGGTTCTATCAAGCCCACCCACTTCAGAATCAACCTTGTCCTCAAGATTGTGGTCAGGGAATTGGAGCTGCAGCCTTGAGATGTCCTCCCATGTTTCATCTTCAACCGGTAGGTTCTTCCACTTAACCAGTGCCTATTTGACCTTCTTTGAACCAGTTCTCTCCCATCTGAAGTCGTGAACAGACTGAGGTTCCAGAAAGAGTGATCCTTTGTTTGAGAACTGAGGTAGGGAGCTGCTGATTCTAGCTGAGGGGGATAGGCTCTCAGCAAACTCACATGGAACAAAGGGTGCAATTTGGAACCAGTTGGTAGATCCAACCTGTAAGCCACCTGTCCTACCTTCTCAAGTATCTTAAATGGTCCAAAGTAGCATGGTGCTAGTTTCTTCCATGGGCGAGAAGCCACAGAAGTCTGTCTGTAGGGTTGTACTTTAGGTAAACAAGGGTGCCAATCTGAAATTCCAATTCTCTGTGTTTTTGATAATAGGAGAGCTTTATGCGCTGTTGGGATTTCTGGTCTTACTTTGTTTGTGAAGAGAAGGGGATAATTGGTGTCATTGTTGGTAGTGTATGTGGGTGACACTGTAGTCATAGGAAATGACATGAGTGAGATTGATGCATTGAAGGAAAATTTACACTGGGAGTTTGAGATTAAGAATCTTGGGGAGCTGAAGTATTTTTTGGGCATTGAGGTGGCAAGATGCAAACATGGGATCTTCATTTCCTAGAGGAAGTATGTGTTGGACCTACTACAGGAGACAAGAAAAGTTGGGGTTAAACCAACTGATACACCCATTGACCAGAATCATAGAATTAATACTTTATATGATGAGCTAGTAAAGGATGTTGGGAGGTATCAAAGATTGGTGGGCCAGTTGTTATACTTGTGCATGACACGACCAAATATCTCCTATGCAGTTAGTGTGGTGAGTCACTACATGCATGTCCCACGAGTTCAACACTAGGAAGCCATTGACAGGATACTTGCCTATCTAAAAGGATTTCTGGGATACTTGTCTATGTGAGGCCATTGATAGGATACTTCTCTGGGTTTTGGAGAGATTGACAAGCCATAACTGTGATAATCAATCAGCAATTAACATTGCTCATAACCCAGTTCAACATGATAGGACAAAGCATATAGAGGTGGGCAGACATTTCATAAGATAAAGGGTGACATTTGGAGAAGTGTGCTTACCATATGTTGCATCTGACTTACAACTAGCTGATATTCTCACAGAAGGAGTTGCAAGAAATAAGTTTGAACTTGATGTATGCAAGTTGGGAATGTGTGACATCTACTCCCAACTTGGGGGGAGGGGGGGGATGGGTGTTGAGATTCAGCAGTTTCATATGTTTTTCTTATTTATAATCATTAATTAGTGTTATTGGGCCCAAGGCGCATTAGTTTATGTTGTCCTTTTGGGACTGTTTTTGTGTTATTAACAGTAACCTCCCTATTAAGGGCATATTAACCTTTGTAATCAACTTTTTTTTTGTGTATATAAGATAATGAGTGGGGTGGCCAGATTATTATTGTCTTCTCCCTATCTCTTCTTCTTTTCTCACTAAGAACTCTCTCTCTTTCTTCTTTTTCACTGTTATCAAATCAGATTATTGTTTTCTATTTTTCTACTTGATGCAAGGTTTATATTTGATAAAAAAGGGGAAGGCCAAAAAAGAAATAGCCTTCAAGTAGTGATAAATACTTGTTGGCTCATTCTATAACAGAAGATGTGGTTTTAATGGGGGAACAATATTCTTACCGGTAAATCGTTTAGGTTGGAGGTTTGGAGTGGGTATATGGCTGGATGATGAATATGATGGTGCAATCTTTCTAAAGACTGATAAAGTGAAGACATGAAATGTATTGTTGTTGTCTTTTTCCATTACAATAGGTTACCTTAATGTTTTTTTTTTTTAATAATCAGAAATATCAAATGACATATTTCTAAATGCATATTTTCAAAATATATAAACTCGAGCTCTAGTGCACAGTGCACTGTTCATTAGTTTTTGGGAATGATATGTGGTATAAAAATGAAATTTCATTTGCATGTGCGCAGTGCACTGTTCATTGGGGCTACTGGGTGTTAATGATAGCTTTCATATTGTATTTTGGGGGTGCTAAACTCTTCTTTCCCTTTGCTTTGGTTGTAGTAAGAGCTGGCTGGGGGAGGGGTGTTTCATCTTGTTGTTCTGAGGAGCATCAATTAAAATAAATAAGAATCCATATAATTTTACCATCAAAGTCATGGAATGGAAGCACAGAAAAGAACTAGAAATATTTATGTTCAACTTCTTTAGCAAGGAAATGAGAGACAATGCTTTGTTTCCAGTTGTGCCAGAAGTAATTCTAATTACATGCATAGTTTCCTGAAGTTATATTTTCTGTATTTTCTTCTTCAGTACTAGTTATGATAGCAAGGAATTAATTGTTAAACTGAAGATGTAGGGTTAATCTTTGTTCTATCAACTTAAAATCACATCTTGATATGGTTTGCTTTCTGAATCCATATTGAGGCAAATTTTTGGTGTTTCAAATTAAAAAAAAGAAAAGAGCCTGGACTATAAACTCTTGTCTATAATCTAATTCTAAGTTCCAAATCCAGCTATGTTTTGGTATTAGGTTAAGTTAGTGATATGGGAACATCCAATTTTGATAAAGATTGAACACGCAAAAGGGCTATAGCTTTGTTCTCAAGTTTTTGTGCTAAAATGAAAAGAAGCAGAAAAATAAAAAATACTGATGATTAGATCCATATCCAATCTACCCTTTGTCCCTTCCAAAGACTCTGGATAGCTAAGACCATCATTGGGTAATGGCCCTTAGTGGAACATCCATAATTGTTAGTTGATTTAAGAGATACAATTGGCCCTATATTAGGAGATTAATTATACTAAAATTAGGCCCCTTTCAGTTGTTACAGAGTTGGTGATTCCATGCTTGTTCTTGAACAAAACATTTCATTTTCTACTATATTTTGATAATCCTTTATGCTTTTTGTATTGTAGGTGCTTGCTGATAAACTACCAGAACTTATATATTTTCACAAAGACCTTTTCCACTTGGAAGCAGCATCAAAGGTATAACCATTTTGGTTGCAGATAAATTTTTGTTCACTTGTAGGATATTTAGCGACTCCAATAGTTCATTTCCATACAGATCCAACTAAAATTTTTGGCAGAGGAGATGCAAGCTATTAGCAAAGGCTTAGAGAAAGTTGAACAGGAATTGACTGCCTCTGAAAATGATGGTCCTATATCACAAACTTTCTGCAAGGTATTTTAATAATATTGTTTTATTCCACCCTCTTTCTTATTCAGTACCAGATGGCTCTCTTCTCATTGTAGGAATGACATTATTCTGTATTCTATTTTGTTTTCTTGATTTAAAAGTTTATTCTTCTGTTAATGATAACAAATTCTCTTTAGATCTTTATAGCCAACCTGATTATTTCATTAGGGCCAGGTTCATTTTTTCAATTTTTTATAGATGTTGTTGCATATTTATCTTATTTTACTATCAGTATTTATCTTCTTTCTTGCTATGTTGTTATGTTTCCTAATCAAATGTTTTTACATGCAGACTTTGAAGAATTTTCTTGTTGTTGCTGAAGCAGAAGTAAGGTCTTTGGCTTCACTTTATGCTGGAGTGGTATGTCTTGGCATTTTTCCTCACTGTAGATTAAACATAGGCTAAATCTTAGCCTTTTTACATATATATATATATATATATATATATTACATCATGTGCCTTGTAGACACCTAAGATATGTATAAGACCATACAGAGTTCTATTAGCAAGATATTAATGCAGAAACAGTATATAACATGCCATTACCCATTGTTGGTCCTGGCTACCTAGGGTCTTGGGAGGGGTAGACTGGGTATGGTCCTAATCTTTGGCATTATTTTTTATTTTTGGCACAAAGTGCCTGCCCTCAGACACGAAACTCGCATTCTCACCCTTGCCCAACCTGAGATTTTACCATTACACCAAGTAATGGTCCCTCTCCCTCGCACAGAAACAGTATTTCTTTGTCAAAAAAAAAAATCAGTTATATTCTAAGTTTCTGAAATCCTTGTTTTTTCATTCATGATTCACAATTTTGATTTCAATAGACATTTTACATGTAGAGATGGGGAAATTTCAAGGATATTTCATTAATTTTTCTTAGATATTAGGAAAATCTAAAAAATCAAAGAAACTAAGAAAAATTGGAATTAGATAATAGACCTTAAAGGAATCATTAGAAGAAGTATAATTGTGCATTCAGGCTCAGAAAAACAAATAAGAGAATATTAAGAGACTTAAAATAGGTATATCCTTCTCTTTGTCTCCCTTTTAGTCTTTTAGCCATCTTCTCTCGATGTCATTTACTTGCTATTTTGACTTTGGTCTTTTTTGTTACTATGTTTTCATTAGATTGAGAATCCTCTTTTTAGGGCTGCAAATGGATCGGTTTGGATTCAGTAAAGGATATATCTTTTCCAATTTGATAAGAAATCCGACCATCCAAATTCGATAAGAATCCATTGGATTTTCAAGATTATGATTCAAATTCGAATATCTTATCGGATATCTGATTTGAATCTGATTCGATTTGGATTGTAGTAAAAAAAGTTGATATAATATAAATAATGTATATAATATACAGAATATACATATATAATATATAAATAATATATAATATAATATTTTGTGACTAACAGATTGGATTGGGTCATGGTCGATTGAATTGGGGTATTTTTTGAAATCGATCTGTTAACTAAACAGATCGACTTTTCTGGTTCGATCTGATTTGTTAGGATCAAGGGAGGTATCCGAATCTGGCTCATACCGGATTGAATTTGGATTCAAATTGGATCTGATCCAATTTATTTACAGCCTGATTTTGGCAAGGAAGAAAGATCTCGATCAAGAGAAGAGAGGAGAAGAGAAGAAGGAAGAAGAGAGGAGAGAAGGAAGAGGCGAGAAGATTGAGGCCAAAAACATAAGCTTGCGGCACCAGAATTGGTATTTATATGTTAGGGCGACAAAATAAAAAATAAAAGGTAAAAGGACAAAAGAGCCCCTGTGATACATAACTAAGATTACATCACTCTCCCTCAAGTTGGGGCATAGATATCAATCATCCCCAACTTGTCACAAAAATTAGAGTGCCTCATGGAATTTAATCCTTTAGTAAGAATGTCTGCAAGTTGTTCCTCAGAGCTGATGTAGGGAGTGCGAACTTCTCCTTTATCCAATTTTTCCCTAATGAAGTGTTTGTCAACCTCTATATGTTTAGTTCTATCATGGAGAACAGGGTTGGTTGCAATGTTAATGGCAGCCTTATTGTCATAGTATAGTGACATAGGATCACTGAGAGGAAAGCCCAATTCACCCAAGAGATTCTTTATCCATAGAAGTTCTGCCACACCATTAGACATGGCCCTATATTTTCAGCTTCTGCACTTGATTTGGCCACTACACTTGGATGAATGGCCATGTCTCTGGGAGCATGCATAAGTTGACTAAGGACTCCCATTGCATACGCAATGTTAGGTCTTGTCATAGATAGATAGAGAAGTCTGCCCACCAAGCTTTGATACTGCTTTATGTCTGCTATGGGCTCATCACTACAATCCCCAAACCTGTGGTTTACATCTATAGGAGTGTTAGCAGGTTTTGCTCCAAGCTTCCTTGTATCTTTCAAGAGATCAAGAACATATTTCCTTTAGGAGATGAAGATATCCTGATTAGAGCGGGCCATTTCAATTCTAATGAAAAATCTTTCTTGCTCTCTGTGGTTTACATTTCTGAGTCCCAATCATCTGTGATAATAATGTCATCGACATACACAATTAAAGTTTCCATTCTTCCTTGTTGTCTCTTTACAAAGAGTGTGATAAGACTAGCACTGCTTAAAACCCATCTGTTGAATTGCGTTATGGAACTTACTGAATCAGGCCCTTGGAGACTGTTTTAAGCCATATGTAGAGAACACTGATGTGGGCCCCACGGCTGTGGTCCCCACTGTGGTCGTATGACAGCACATGTAACCATTGTTAGTTATGTCAGTGTTAGTTGGTAGTTATCTTAGACAACTTGTTATTTCAGTTTATTATTTGTTTTATTTGCCATGTAAGCATTAAGGGCAATTCTGCCCTTTCCTACATTTAGTGAACATAATCTATAAATATTGAGAGAGTGGCGGCGACAGATTCATTCGATCTATCCCTCCTTTCAAAATTCTTGTGTACTTCTGCTTTCTTCTCCTTTCTTCTCCCACTTTCTTCTACTTTTCTCAATCCGAAATCTTTTGGAATTCAAGACTGACTGTAGTCTTGATCGACTACTTGGTATCAGAGCCTATCTAGGGTTTCTCATGTGAGTCTAGTCCAACCGACCACATGAGAACTGTCTAGGGCTGGAAGCTTACAGAGGATTGTTTGTTGGCTGATTCTTGGAGGTTACCAGAAAGTTTAGCAGTTGTTCGAAGACTTGTAGAGGCTTGGAGAGTGTTTTGGTAATCAGGAAGAATCAGAGAAGGTTAGGGTTCAGGCCACGATTGAAGGTAGCGATCAAAGTTTTCTGGCTAAGTCTTTATTTTTCCCTTGAGATTGCTGTCAGTCAAGATAGGTTGGACCTATCTAGGAGGAGCGGCCGAACTCCTATTTTTTCTCAGAGGTGATCAGTTTTTTTTAGGGTTTGTCATTAACCCTACGGCTAGACTTGACTGTGAATTCTTTTGGAAGGTGCGACTGGGCACTGTTTATGTTCTCACAAAGGTTTTCCTAACCCTACGATTAAAACCCTAATTCTGCTTCAGCATTACAGATTGCTTTCTAAGTGGTTTTTCAGACCTGTTTTGGCTTCCGAGCCTGTTTTGGGGGTGAGAACTGTTATCAGACTGCTTATATTCTGATTGCCGATTAGTTTCAAATCAGATCTGAACTGATTTCATACAGATTTCTGATTGTGATCAGTTGTTTAAGTGCTGTTTTCTATTGCAGTAACCCTAATAGTTCTTAACTACTGATTCTTAACCAAGAATGGAGTTCAAAAATCAGGGAGAAGGTGTTTTTGGGAACAGCAGTCCTAGTAGTATGTCTGNCTTTCTTCTACTTTTCTCAATCCGAAATCTTTTGGAATTCAAGACTGACTGTAGTCTTGATCGACTACTTGGTATCAGAGCCTATCTAGGGTTTCTCATGTGAGTCTAGTCCAACCGACCACATGAGAACTGTCTAGGGCTGGAAGCTTACAGAGGATTGTTTGTTGGCTGATTCTTGGAGGTTACCAGAAAGTTTAGCAGTTGTTCGAAGACTTGTAGAGGCTTGGAGAGTGTTTTGGTAATCAGGAAGAATCAGAGAAGGTTAGGGTTCAGGCCACGATTGAAGGTAGCGATCAAAGTTTTCTGGCTAAGTCTTTATTTTTCCCTTGAGATTGCTGTCAGTCAAGATAGGTTGGACCTATCTAGGAGGAGCGGCCGAACTCCTATTTTTTCTCAGAGGTGATCAGTTTTTTTTAGGGTTTGTCATTAACCCTACGGCTAGACTTGACTGTGAATTCTTTTGGAAGGTGCGACTGGGCACTGTTTATGTTCTCACAAAGGTTTTCCTAACCCTACGATTAAAACCCTAATTCTGCTTCAGCATTACAGATTGCTTTCTAAGTGGTTTTTCAGACCTGTTTTGGCTTCCGAGCCTGTTTTGGGGGTGAGAACTGTTATCAGACTGCTTATATTCTGATTGCCGATTAGTTTCAAATCAGATCTGAACTGATTTCATACAGATTTCTGATTGTGATCAGTTGTTTAAGTGCTGTTTTCTATTGCAGTAACCCTAATAGTTCTTAACTACTGATTCTTAACCAAGAATGGAGTTCAAAAATCAGGGAGAAGGTGTTTTTGGGAACAGCAGTCCTAGTAGTATGTCTGAGACTGCGTTTCAGATTACAACTGTGAGATTTGATGGATCCAATTACTTGGAATGGGCCCAATCAGCCATGATGGCTATTGGGGGAAGGGGAAAACTTAGCTACCTATTGGGAGATGTGAAAGAACCTTCCAAGGAGGACCCAATGTATGTCAAGTGGGTTCAGGAGAACTACTTGGCTATGACATGGATGTGCAACTCTATGCAGCCACATATCAGCCAAAATTACTTGTGGGCAAAGACAGCCAAGGAGATATGGGATGTCATGAAAGAGACCTACTCCCAACCCCTTAATGTTGCTAGAGCCTATGAACTGAAGTGTGAGGTGAATAACCTTAAACAAGGAGAGAAGCCAGTCTCCGTTTATTTCTCTACCTTAAAATCTCTGTGGCATGAAATTGACCATCTAGAGACTCTTGAGTGGGAAAGTCCAAAAGATGCACAAACCCATAGAAAGCAAGTCGAGACCAATAGGGTGTTTGAATTTCTGGCTGGCCAGAATTTAGATTACGACATTGTGAGACAACAGATACTGACAAGTGACAGTGTGACCCTATCTCAAGCCTACTCCCTGGTGCATAATGAAGAGACCAGGAGAAAGGTTATGATGCAACATCAGCCCTTCCCCCCAGCCCTGGCAGCAGTTAAACCTAAGTCTGGGGGTGACACAGAAAGGGACATGAAGAAGGAAGATAAACGGGATCTAGTATGTGAACATTGCAAGAAACCCAA